TCTGCTAATTTAAAAATATAAGGAGCAATTTTTTCACCTTGTTCCTTCTTCAAAATACTTCTAATGGTGCTATAATTTCGTTAGATTTTTTGGTTAGATTTTTTTTTCATTAGATTTTTTAGGACAAAATTGTGACCTAAAAAAAAAAATGGCTGCATTTTGGTTAGATTTTTTAGTTTGCATAGCTTTTTAAGCTTTGGAGGTAATAAAAACGGCTAAAAAGATAGTTAAATAATTAAGAAATCTATAGCCTTTACAGGTGTTTTCTGATATGTTAATACAAAATCGAACCAAAACGAGGCCTAAAAATAAAAAATGGCCATGTAGAAAAAAAATCGAACCAAAAATGTGGCCTAAAAAATAAATTTTGCCACTTTCAAAAAACTGATATCTCTTTTGACCTTCCAGAGCGGCTAGGCACACGAATGCTGCCATGGAGGTTTTGTCCCAAAACCCCCCTTCTGGCATTGTGTAGTTTGTTCTTTGTGATTTAGATGGTTTCTTTTTACTCACAAGAGTTTGTCTTCATGCCATTTTTCAAAATTTTCTGATTTACCTTTCAAAGCTTAAATCCTAGAATCCAATTTATATTAGCTTCAACATCTCATTTTCATTCTCATCCTTAGTAACATCACTATCTTCAGGGATGTTCTCTAAAAACATGGTATTGGCATAATTTGCTTTCACTTTCAAAATCACTTGAATAGAGGTTGCACCCAATGAATAATATTTGGTGAATATTCAGTGAATATTTGGTTAATTGGATATTTGATTTTTTCATTGAATGATTGACCAAATATAATAAATTAAAAATGAATATTCAGTGAATATTCAGTGAATAACTGATAATATTTTGTGCAACTGAATTTGTAACAATTTACGTTTTCATCATATATACAAATTAAGAAAATAACTAAACATTAATTTAATGGCAAACAAATTAGTTTTATATTTTAAGTATTTTTGCTAATTATGTTTAGTAATATTCAGATAGATGAGATTATCCATATTTTCTTGTAATTATTATTTAAAAAGAATAAAGAATAACTTATATTTTTACCGCAATTAAAATATTTGTTTTTAGTAGTGTTTAATTTGTTTTAAAGTAATTCTTAATCCTTTACAAAATCAAAATAAAATTTATTCACATCAAATAAATTCATCTAATTAATTAAATTTAAAATGGAATAGTGTGTTCCATGTTGCAACCCAAAAAAGGAAACAAAATGGTCGTAAATGTGGTTGCAACCAGTGGTTGCAATCATTTTTATATGACGCAAAGATGGTAGCAACCATCATCAAAAGTTGCAGCCGGTATCCTTAAAATGGAAGAAGAGCCTTCACTCACTATAATAGGAGAAAGTAATAATACAATAATGAGAAGGGAGGAGTCTTCTGGTGCTCATATTTTAAAGAAAAGAAAGGTAAAGGGTGGTTCTAAGAAGTCAAGTTGGATATGGAACTTAATGGAAGAAACTGAAATTGTAAAGGATGGAGAAAAATCTAAAGGAGTTATTTGTCAAGTTAACATCTCTGAAGTTTCTGATATTATTGTTCATTGTAATGTTGTAGTACGTGGTGGTGAATCTACATCTAACTATATTATACACTTATTATCTGCTCATGGTATAACAAAAGAAAATTTCCAAAATAAATTGAACAATCAGTTTAAAGTAAGTAAAAAACAAAATTTTTTTTATATATATATAACAAATTTTTTTCAATTTATTATAATTTTCATTGTAGGACACTTCTAAAACAATCACTAAAATGTTTGAAAATCACCAACCACATACAAGCCAAAAACAAGAACAACTTGAAAAGGCCTTGGTTTTTTTTATAATTAATGACCTACAACCACTAAATATCTTGAAATCAGAGTCTTTCAAAAATTTTATCAAATTGCTAGATCCTCGATTTACAATTCCACAATCAAAAAAAGTAAAATCATGGATTTCCAATGCCTATACAAATTCTTTAAATAAATTAAACCATGATTTGTCTGTTGCTAAATATATTTCTTGCACCACAGACTTGTGGACTGCAAGAAATAAGCAAGGTTACCTAGGAATAACATGTGCTTGGGTAGATCCAGATTTTAATTTAAATGAAAAGTTGTTAGCTCTAAAATATATTCCATCTCATACTTCACTAGCTATTAGTCAAAAATTAATTGATATTTTTAGTGAATTTGATATAAATGATAAAATTATTTCCATCACAACAGAAAATGGAAGAAATATGGTCTCTGCTTTTAAAGTGAGTTTTAATTTTATTACAAGTTTATTATAGAATGAACATTGATTAATACAATTTCATTTACAGTTTTTGCCAAATATTGCAAGATATGGTTGCTCAGCTCATACTATACAACTTGTGATTGGTAAATCTTTAATTCCTTGTCAAGTTTTTTTGGCAAGATCTAAAAGGTTAATAAATTTTTTCATGTCACCAAAACAGAATGAATTATTATTAAAGGCTCAAAAATTAAACAATTGTGATAATGATTGTGATATTGATGATGTTGATATTAATGCTCAGACTATCCAAAACAACAACAACTATTTAAGTGCAATTGGAGATGTTCCAACTCGTTGGAACTCTTCTTATCTGGCTTGGGAAAGGATTTATAATTTGAAAGATGCAATTTATACAGCTTTAAATACTATATTAAGAAATAAAAAAGATTCTCAATCAAAAAAAGATTACAATCGATTAAAAAAAATTATGTTGCAAGAAGAAGAATGGGATTTCATGTTAGAGATGATAGGTGTATTGGGCCCATTTTATGAATTTACTCAGATTTTGGGTGCCAGTGATTATGTTACCATTAACCTTGTGTATCCTTTGATAAATACATTGAAGGAAGAATGCAAAAACACAACAAATAATGTTTATGATTACGAGGTGGATTTTGAGTCAACTGATGATGTTTTTGATGTTGTGTATGAAGAAGAAGGTGAGGAAAATGATGATGTTGGTAAAATTGGTAAAAGGAAAATGAAAATAAATCAACCACAAGATATGTTTGGTTTAACTGGTGCAATAAAATCATTGTTATATAAATATTTAAATTATTATTGGAAACCTCCAACAGCAGAAGAATTGTTAGTATTTTCCTTTAGATAAAGTTAAAGAAAATATCCTGACTTTCGATATCTTATTGATGACAATCTAATAATAATAAAAAAGACAGTTACAATGTTATTATTACTGATAAAAATAAGATTTACATTATTCCTAATTACGAATGTAATCATAGCATGTCATTAAAAGAATTAAAAGGAAAAAATAAATTAATATTGTAATAAGATTATTTTTCCTTCTAAGGGTTTCTGCTCTTTTTGTTGGATATTAGCACATCTTCATTCTGCTTTCTTTTTCTAACATTTATTATTTTTCTTTCTTCTTATAAGTAATCCATCTTTTATTTTCTTAGATAAGCTTCAAGTGTTTGAGTATCATTTATTTTGAAAATGTAAGGAGCAATTTTTTCACCTTGTTTCTTTTTTAGAATACTTCTAATGGTGCTATAATTCTTGGGTTCCATAGTAGATCTGATATAAATGAGTTTCATATTAACTATTTTTATATATAGGTAATTCTATATTAAGAGGATAACAAATGAAAGATTTTAATAACCACATTACTAAATTTTGATCCCTGAAATCTTTGGTAATACCAATGTTCACTTTGTCCGGTTTTGTTGCAGTATGCCCCATGTTAAATTCAAATAACTTTTTTTTCTGATAAATAATTTAAAACAATTGCATGATTTTCAACAATCATCCTTGATTTAATTTTAAAATAATTCATTCAATTAGTATTGTTTTAAATGACAACTACCAACCTCATCAAAAAAGCCTTTCCTGGATTATTTAGACCTTTTAATATTACTTCTTGCTCTCCAGAATAACTAAATTCCTTTTTATTTTCATCATAGTCAATTATTTGTCCTCTTGTCCATACTGTAGTATAAATTGAACTAAATCTGTCTTCAGTTAACTTTGTTACTTTTTCAAATTGCTCAAAAGGTATCCATTCTAAAATATTGTTTGGTAGAGATGATTTCATTTGACATTGTTGAATAAAATCATCAATTATGTTGTTGCCAGATGTCCAGGTAGTGAAAAGACTCTGTAATTGTAAACCAATACAACCTTCACAGAATCTGAGCATCTTGTTAATTTGCACTTGTTACATTTCTTTGGTTTTCCCAATTCATACATTACATTATTTAATTCAACCTCATAAATAACTTGTTCTTTACAGTATGTTTTTTTTTTTGACTAATGAAAAAAAATAATTTTCTTGATCAGAATAAACCACTGCATTATTGTTCATTTCATTATAAATTTTACATATAAATTCCTTTCTTTCTGGTGATAATAATTTAACATGTGGCATTATATAAATATAAAATATAGACTCGGGGATTTTTTTAGTTACTATTACATTATTTCCTTTTTTCTCTGAATAAGGTGTAAACAAAAAATTCCTGTATATTTTGTTAGGTTAACAGTTAAATTTTCCCTATAGGATTACTAATTATCTATTACTGTCATGGTAGTGTGCGCCTTTTTTACACTAATAAATCTTAAATAAAAATTGCGCATTTATGGAGAAAGGGAAATTAACCAGCACTTTACAATTTCCGTTATTACAACATATCAAATTAAAATTGGCAGAAGCTTGATTGCTCTCTAAAGCAATATTTACGACATCTAAACTAGGGCAGTCTCCTATTGTAAAATTAGTGGTGGGAGTATCTCCCGCAATGCCACCACATGGTTTTAAAGAACAACTTTAACATCGACAAAATTCATCGTCAAACTTTAGTGATTGATTCATCGTGATTCTAATGCATTCTTCTTCACTATAAAGAGATTATATTAAAATCATTATGTGGGAAATTTTTCAACTCCTTATATTGTGCGATTCACTCATTACATAGTAGGTCCACTATATCAAGCGCTGACTGTAAACGTATGTTCCTAGAGAAGGACCTTCTGGTTTTGTACTTTTTTCAGCCATGTTCGCTATATGTACACATCGTTTCTTATAAATTAGGTAGGACAAACGAATGTATAAAAAGTTTGGTTGAAAATCGTGGAGAAAAAAAATTTTTTTTGAAAAAGTTTTTCTCACTATTATTAATATAAAATCGAGGGAACTTAAACGTAAGAAGATATGGTCACGTATATATTTGGTTCCTTTGCTACAAGCAGAATCAGATCGTGATGCTTACATACGATCATTTGCAGCCCTAGCAAAATAATGAAAGATATTCCAGATTGGAAGGTAGGGGAAGTGTTTATAATAACAAGAAAAGATTCATTCCATCTTCAATTGTTAATAGTATTTTATTATATTAATCATCATCATTTCCACCATCATTATCGTTGCCATCATCGTCATCATTTTCACCACCATCATTATCAAGTCCGCCTTCTTCAATTTTAATAATTTCATTTCGACTTTGACCAATATCTGGTAATTTCTCAATATCATTATCATCATTATCAAATTTGTCGTCTTCAATAATTTCAATATGACTTTTATCATCAATGTCTGATGATTCCTCTGTATCATCATCAATGTCTGATGATTCCTCTGTATCATCATCAATGTCTGATGATTCCTCAGTATCATCATCATCGCCACTGTCATCCTCATTATCAAATTCGTCATCTTCAATAACTTCATTTTGACTTTTACCAACCTCTAATAAATTCTCAAGAGCATTATCATCATGATTGAGTATAGCCTTTTTTATTTGATAAATTAACTTCTCAGTGCAAAATGCAATAAACCCAAACAGAGTGGCTAATACATTATATAAGTTTGTTTCTAGAATAGTTCTATCATTTGGACATAGTATAAACGAGTAAAACCAATCGGAACGATTCCCAAATAATTTTTTTCTTAAAGTTCTTCTCGAATCAAGATGTCTAAATATAATTAATAAATAAACCATTAATCAAGGATTTAATAAAGAAAAAAACAAATACTTACTCTAACCAAACAAAACTTTTTATCGCATCTTTTACATATCTAATCTTATTGTCTCCATATTCAATTCTCGTCAATAATAATTCTAAAATATTATAATGTGCATCAGCCAATGATTTTTTTGAAACTTTCGTCTTGTCTTTAAATATAAGAATATTCATAATTTTAATTAAAGTACATTCTTAAGAAAAAAACAACAATATATAATAAAAGGCGTGCATACATACTTATAATTGATTGATAATAGTTTATTAAAGGATATAAAATTTTATTTGGTGGACTCACAGGATCCAATTTATGATAAATTATTCCAGCACTAACCCATTCTTTTTCATTTTTTTTAAATTCATACAAAACTTCGAATAAAAGTCTATATTTACGCCCATAAAAAAATTAATAACTTCAGTTAAAGAATTTTTTTTCTTTAAAAAATTTAATTTATTCTCATATTAAAAACTAACCGTTTTCCTGTTATCATATTTGGATTCTCTTTATTAAAATTTTTTATGACATTTAAAGCTTCTTTAACAAGCCTTTGTGATGTTAACAACTGATAAACAAATATATATATATTCATATAGTTAATTTTTTTCTTTTTATTAAAAAAATTAAAATGACATCTTACTTTCACATAATATACTAAAAACATGTCATTCGTTATATCCAAATCCAAAGCCTTTTCAAACGATCTTTTGCACAAGTCATAATATCGTATTTTCTCATTATCAATGGGTTCACCTTTACAAAATTTGATCAATGTAAATAAGAGAATAGTGAATTTATTATGTGAAATCACGTAGGTAATAAATAATAATATTAAAACAATACTTACTAATTGTATTATAATTTTCCATTTCATCATCAATAGGCTTTCTTTTTCCTGTACTTTGCCCATTCTCATTCCCACCATCTACATCATTGTCTTGATCTGATTTTTCTAGTTGTCCCAGTAATGCAAAAGTTAACAAACCAGCATAACCATTAAAAAGTGCATTATTACAATATGGTTCTTGCGGTAAATATCTAATGAATCAATTTTATTAATTTATGATTAATATTAATATTAAATAAAATTATATACACGTAAATTTACATTTCAAGCGTAGCAAGTGCTTCATTTGGATCACAGTGTTTTATTTGGTAGAAAATCAATTCTAAAAGTATATTTACCTAACAAAAAAAAAATTTTTTTAATCAAATTTCATTTTATATTTTAAAAAATCCACATTTAAACCTACGTCTTGCATCTTTGTTCTCATTAGCAATAAATTAAAAAAATCAACGCATTCTTTCTGTGTATTGCCTAATTGTTTTAAAACTTCAATCGAAGCCTTTGATCAAAGTATTTATTTATTGCAATTGCTACTAATATTTTAATTATCAAGATTTTTTTAAATCAAACCTTCCAAATTTGTCTAATGTCTAAATCACCACTCCTTAATAATATCTCAACTATTCGATTAGCACGACAATAATTTTGTGACTGAAGAGACAAATAAAGTAAATTATACAAGTTGGTCAAATGAATTTTACGTATAGTCACTATTTCACCGTCATCTTTCGGAAAAATACTCCAAAAATGGACTGGGTTAATTGGATTCATATTAATATCAGAGGTTCTGATCAGCCGATAAAATTGGGAAACGGGAACGGAACAACTATGAACTTTTTTATGTTATTATGCAGATCCTTAAAAATGAAGCCTCAAGATTTGGTTTTTTTGTGAAACATAAAAAGTATCAATTGAGAAATTTTCTCAACTGGAAAATTTTCAATTTTTGCAAGGTCATTTTTGTTTTATAATAAAATAATGGAGTCACCCGAGTCTTCTTTTTTTTCATACTCGCCATCAGAATACTCAGATACTTGTTCACTCATATGTTCCTCCCCGCCTTTATACATTAATTTAACCACACAAACGCTTCAAGAAATTGAAAACCTGGATATTCAGCGAATTTCTAAATTTTTCAATTTACCAATTGAATTATTAACAGAAATATTTTTATACTTACCACCTGAAACACTTTATCATCTCACTTTGGTATGTAGAAAATTGAGAGACATATTATGGTCAAAAACTTTAGACTCGACACAATATATTTGGCGCACAAGTAGGATAATAAATCATCCAAAAATATTGAAGACTCCAAAAAATATGTCAGAACAACAATATATTTGGTTAAAGATTATTGTTTTAAAATGCCAATATTGTAATCATTATATGAAAAATGAATTAATGTGTGGAATTGGAATTTATTGGGAATTTAAATTATTTTCTTGTGATAATTGTATAAAATTAAACACCATCAGGTAGGTAATCATTGTTGATTTTGGATGATTCTTCTTCTTTTTGTTTATCATTAAGTAAAATTTTTTCTTTATTTTTATTTAGTTATGAAAAATTAATAAATGAATGGAAAATACCTCAAAAATTATTATATTGCCTGCCGTCAATCAATTATTTGACATATAAAGATTATTTGTTAGCTAGCGACTATAAAAATAGATATGACAACAATAATAGTTGCATATATTCTAGTAGATTTTATGAATATCATTGTTTTATTTATGAGGAAGAATATGATGATAATAATTATTATTGCTATAATTTTAATGAAGGTGAAGACTCTAAAGAAAATAATAAAAAGAAAAAGAAAAGAATAAACAAGTATTATTTAATCTCAAATGTAATAAATATAAAAAGAGAATACGATAGAATAAAATCTGATTACGAGAGAGATCAATGGATAAGAATAAAGCATAAAGAAATTAAAGAATATTTAGAAGATGTGGAGAGACTTATTATGGAAGATTATAAAAATTTTTGTAGTTTTTCATAATTATAAATAAGGTTTTGTAAAAGTTTTGATTTTTATAATTATGAACTTTAATATTATATTCCTTATTAATTATCTAAATATTTATTATTAATAAACTAAAATCTAAAAAACATTTTTGTTTCATAGAGTTGTTGTCTATGTAATTTGATCATGCAAATTTATATTATATATTTTATATTGTTTATATATATGTATATATATGTCCTAACTAGAGTAAGTTGGTTTTCTAAGATCAATCTACAATTCCCATTTTTGGTGATAAAAACGTGTAAATAATGCAAGCTTTAAACAGTTAAAAATGTCATCTATGTTATTTATCTCTCGACATAATATAAATTTTTTCGACAGAAAGTTACTAATTATACGAGTTTTCAATCAATTAATCATTAAATTTTGATCCTTTATTAGAAGATAAAAAGGGTTCGAAAAAGGTCGAGAGATAACAATATGGGGAAAGAAAGATAAACGATTGATTAAATCGCATTAAGACAAAAATAAAAAAATATTATTATCTTTAATTTTTCGCGTGTCGTCATTCCATATCGGTATTTATGCTTACACATTTATTCATCTTTTTTTTTCTCTCTCCCCCCCATCTTTTTCAATTGTCTTCGAATTATATATATATATAAATAAATACAACATAATATTTTTTCTCAAATATCAAAATTATTTTTTTTTTAAATTTAATAAATCCATAATACATATATGCATACATATATATACAAACATAATAAACATGTCGGATAAATATATTAAACTTGAAAAGATTGGAGAAGGTTAGTTGTAACTTTAACATTTCTCTTTATAAATATTGAACAAATGTTTTTACATGTAAATGTCATAACCATTATTTTTTTTTATAAGGAACATTTGGTGTGGTTTATAGAGGAATGGAAAGAAAATCAGGTCTTGTTGTTGCATTGAAAAAGTTAAGGTTAGAAACTCATTGTCACGATGGAATACCATGCACAACTGTTAGGGAAATTTCAATATTAACACAAGCAAATAATAAAAATATTGTAAAGTATGTCGTCGATTCCACTGAAAATTTCACGTGTTTTTTTTTGTGATAAATAAATAAAATTAATGAATTTTATATTTTTAAAGATTATTGGACACAATTTATTCTGATAAAAATTTATATTTAGTATTTGAATATCTTGAAACTGATCTAAGGAAGTATCTTGATAACGCTGGTCAGCATGGTTTAACAATATTTAATGTTAAGGTAAAAAAATAATAATTCAATTAATATTATTTTTATCAAGAAAAAAAATCAAATATTAAATTCTAAATTATTTAATAATAGAAATTCATGTGGCAATTAATGAGTGGTGTTTACTATTGTCATTCTCATCGTATTCTTCACCGTGACTTAAAGCCACAAAATTTACTTATTGACTCAGAAGGAAATTTAAAATTGGCTGATTTTGGGTTAGCAAGAGCATGTAGTGTTCCAATGAGAGCTTATACACGCGAGGTAATATAATCGATGATTTAATTTCTTTTTTCTTTTTTTAAAAAAATCAAGTTAGTTCATATCTCTTGTTAAATATAAAGGTTGTCACATTATGGTACCGTTCACCAGAATTATTACTCGGATGTCCACAATATTCAACTGGTGTTGATATTTGGAGCGTGGGTTGTATATTTGCTGAAATTCTTTCAAGCCGTGCTTTATTTAAAGGTATTTATTTATTTTACTATTATTACTATTTATATTATTAGAAAAAACCAAAATTTAATATATAATACGTATAAAGATAAATTTAACCAACCAGTTAACTAATCAAATTAATTAGGCGATAGCGAAATAGATCAACTTTATAAAATATTTAGGTTTGTATTAAAACGCCTGCTTATATTATATTTGTATAAATGCTATTTTCTCCAATTATTAATAATATATAAATGCGCACACATATATATTAGTACACTTGGTACACCAAATGAAAATATATGGCCTGGAGTTTCTCAATTACCAAATTTCAAAGTACGATTTCCAAATTGGTTACCAAAATCACTATATTTATTTGTTCCAAATTTGGATATTAATGGACTCATGATTGAGTATAGCCTTTTTTATTTGATAAATTAACTTCTCAGTGCAAAATGCAATAAACCCAAACAGAGTGGCTAATACATTATATAAGTTTGTTTCTAGAATAGTTCTATCATTTGGACATAGTATAAACGAGTAAAACCAATCGGAACGATTCCCAAATAATTTTTTTCTTAAAGTTCTTCTCGAATCAAGATGTCTAAATATAATTAATAAATAAACCATTAATCAAGGATTTAATAAAGAAAAAAACAAATACTTACTCTAACCAAACAAAACTTTTTATCGCATCTTTTACATATCTAATCTTATTGTCTCCATATTCAATTCTCGTCAATAATAATTCTAAAATATTATAATGTGCATCAGCCAATGATTTTTTTGAAACTTTCGTCTTGTCTTTAAATATAAGAATATTCATAATTTTAATTAAAGTACATTCTTAAGAAAAAAACAACAATATATAATAAAAGGCGTGCATACATACTTATAATTGATTGATAATAGTTTATTAAAGGATATAAAATTTTATTTGGTGGACTCACAGGATCCAATTTATGATAAATTATTCCAGCACTAACCCATTCTTTTTCATTTTTTTTAAATTCATACAAAACTTCGAATAAAAGTCTATATTTACGCCCATAAAAAAATTAATAACTTCAGTTAAAGAATTTTTTTTCTTTAAAAAATTTAATTTATTCTCATATTAAAAACTAACCGTTTTCCTGTTATCATATTTGGATTCTCTTTATTAAAATTTTTTATGACATTTAAAGCTTCTTTAACAAGCCTTTGTGATGTTAACAACTGATAAACAAATATATATATATTCATATAGTTAATTTTTTTCTTTTTATTAAAAAAATTAAAATGACATCTTACTTTCACATAATATACTAAAAACATGTCATTCGTTATATCCAAATCCAAAGCCTTTTCAAACGATCTTTTGCACAAGTCATAATATCGTATTTTCTCATTATCAATGGGTTCACCTTTACAAAATTTGATCAATGTAAATAAGAGAATAGTGAATTTATTATGTGAAATCACGTAGGTAATAAATAATAATATTAAAACACCACTCATTAATTGCCACATGAATTTCTATTATTAAATAATTTAGAATTTAATATTTGATTTTTTTTCTTGATAAAAATAATATTAATTGAATTATTATTTTTTTCAAGCAGTAGACGGCATACTAGATGTAGCAGTGACTGGAGTCAAGACGAGTGCTATTCTGTCCTACTGGAGAGTGGACTA